CATTCCTGCGTTAGATTTTGTTTGATCATGATGTATTACTTTGTTAAACACAGATTGATTTTATTAAAACTTTGCTAGAATTGTTTTGCGTGTAAAACTTCACGAGGAACATTAGTTCTCAATTTTCTTTTGTTGTGCTTGGTTCTGGGGTATGAACAACGCCATCCTGTAAAGTAAGTTGGGAAATAGTCTTCACTTTATGGGAAAAGTTGTAAAAATTGTGACTGTTTTCTAAAATACTTGGTAGACTTCCTCAGTGAAAACCTCTCTACTGGGTATTTTCTTGTAGCATGGTTTTTAAACAGAAATATATTTATTTAGGATTTGTAAATTTATGTGTATGTGTGTATATGTATTTATATGTATACATATTTATATGTGTGTGTGTGTGTGTGTGTGTGTGTGTGTGTGTGTGTGTGGCTTGTTTGTCTTTGTACTTGTGTATGGGCACATGTATGGAAGTCAGAGCAGAATTTGTAAGAGTTGGTTCCCATCTTTCATCATGTGGGTTCTAGGGATTGAACTCAGTTCACCAGGCTTTGCAAGAGGCACCTTTACCTACCAAGCCATCTCACCTGCCCAGCACTGAGGTTTTGCTGCTGAATAACCTGGATTTGCATCCTGGATCCACTACTTACTGGCTGTCATGGACTAATATCACTTGTCTAATTCCATACTACATGAGTGTAAAATATGAGGAAAAGAGACTGTAACTAGGTATATTGTCTTAATAACCTAAAAAAACTAATGTTCATCTTTCAGCTTTAAAATTCTATAAATATAGCCGGGCATGGTAGCGCACACCTTTAATCCCAGCACTCGGGAGGCAGAGGCAGGCAGATCTCTGTGAGTTCAAGGCCAGCCTGGTCTACATAGTGAGTTCTGGGAGAGCTGGGGCTACAGGGAGACCCTGTCTCAAAAAGACCAAAAAAAAATCTATAAATATAAATAAAAGGGATGCATTGAATCAGAATCATAAAGTACATGCTTCAGATAAGTTAGAACTCTAAGAGTAAAAAGAATGAAAATTTTTTGACAATATGAGAATAGGCTTACATGACTATTGACAATAAACAGGGAAAAATTACAACCTAAGTTAGATTACTAAACAGTTTTGTACACCGATACATAATGAAGCACGCTTAGTTTGACAAGGATTCATTTGGAAGAGAACAAAGTTTTTTAGCGTATGATCCCAGGACCAGTGGTATGAAGAGTAAATGAATAAATTCTCAGGCTACAGTAGCAGAAGCAATGCCTATGGTGGGAGAGAGACAAATCACACTACTGAGTACATGTCAGATTACATGGAGAATAACATTTTCTGTTGGAGAAGAATGGAAGTGTAATAAAAGGAACTCACAACTACTTGGCTTCTGAGCCAGATGTGGTGGTGGTGGTGGTGGTGGTGGTGGTGGTGGTGGTGGTGGTGGTAGTGGTACACACCTTTAATCCCAGCACTCGGGAGGCAGAGGCAGGCGGATCTCTGCAAGATGAAGCCCAATCTGGCCTTCATAGTGAGTTCAAAGCCATCTGGGGCTAAAGGGAGACCCTGTCGTAAAAACGAAAAATGGGGCTGGAGAGATGGTTCAGTAGTTAAGAATACTGACTGCTCTTATAGAGGACTTGTGTTCAATTCCCAGAACCCACACAGTAGTTAACAACTGCCCGTAATTCCAGTTCCAGGGGATCCAATGTCCTCTTCTGACCTCTGTGGGCACTGTACGACATAGGTGCACTTACATATATGCAGGCACAACACTCATATACATAAATAAAAATAAAGTTTAAGAAAAATAAAATAAATTTAAAGCAACAACAACAACAAAACTCCCAAAGAAAGACTATCATGCATCTAAAAAGCATATGAGTGCATGGTACCAGGGAGTTGAGGAAGTTTATACCAGAGGATGAAGACCCAGACAAATTGAGAGTTACCTGCTAGTGTTTGGATAAAAGACAGATAACCTAGGCCCTGGGATTTATAAGAAACATTTTGAATCAGGGCATGGTGGCATAGGGCTGTGATTTCAGCACTCAGGAAGAAGAGAGAGAATTCTAGCACTCAAGAAGAAAAGGGGCTCAGAAGTTTAAGTTCGTCCTTGGATACACAGCAAGTTTGAGGCCTACCTGAAACACATGACACTCTGTCTCAAATAAAGGAAACAGATTGGGATTATATATTCAAACAGAAGTTGGGAGGCGATTATTGAAAAAGAAACAAAAAAATTTCACATTGGGTAAAAGTAAAGACCAGGGAGCCTGCCCTTGGGGCCTTTTCGAGATCTAAAGCACCCAAAATTCTGCCCCTCGTATAAGACAAAACAAAGCATACTATGATTTTCACTACTACAACTAGTACTTCAACTATTGATGACACTGAAGTCCATATTTCATATAACCAGTGCTGTACTAAGTATTCTCCAAAGGCTAGAGGGCTCGTGGAATTCTAAATTCCAAGAAGTGTTAAGATAACTTTAATACACAGATACTTTTGTATGAAGAAAACAGGTTGTGACTGCTGTGGATTTAACTTAGTGGTAAGGCACTTGCCTAGCAGGTGCAGGGGGCGTGGTGCAGGGGACGACAGGGACTGCAGTGTTTATGGGAAGGGATAGAAAAACTGAAATAACTTAACATTCTTTACGCTCTAGACCTAACAACTAAGAAAAAATAATTTCAACTAAAACTAGAAAACTAAATTCTTGACCAAATTATCATCAGGCATTCTAAGAAATTAGTCCCAACAGGTTATCAGTTGGTCATTCCAAAATTAATTGTACAGGATTAGGAATGCAGCTCAGTAGCAGAAATCATGTCTAGCATGTGTGAGGCCCTAGATCTGATCTCTAGTAGTACATAAAAAGATTTAAAATTAATTGTATAGAAAAAAAAATCACAAGACATGTATCTGATTTTACAAAGAGAAAGTTGCTTATTTGGCTTTAAAAATCAATGTTTTGTGGCTAGAGAGATGGCTCAGCAGTTAAGAGCACTGGCTGCTCTTGCAGCGCATCCACATGGTAGCTAGCAACCATCACTAACTCCAGTTCCATGGGATCTGATGCCCTCTTATGGCCTCTAAGAGCACTGCATGCACATAGTGCACTTACATACATGCAGGCAAGACCGGAAAAAAAAAACTTCAAAAATTAAAATAAAAATTAATGTTTTGATTTTTGTTTGCTTTTAGAGTACTGGAACTTGAGTTGAGGGCCTTGAGGCAAAGTGCTCTATCACTGAGCTCTACTCTCAACCCCTCTAAATGTTTCTTGTACAAGTTTATCCCATAGATTTGGGCTGATATACTCTTATTATGATTTGCAAATGTGTATGAAAACAAATGTTTCCTGGAATAAATGGGACAAATCACTTCACCTTCTTTCCCATATCCAGACGTAACACAAAATTGATTTTAATGGAGAGATAAGTGAAGAGAGTTGCTTTGCCTTTCTGTGCCCAATGAAATACCAGGGCATCTTGTTATCAAACTTAAACTTTTTCAAGCTGAATAAACTGCTAGAGAGTATATCAATGCCTTCACCAAACTGCTAGAAAATATGTCAGTCCCATTCATTACACTTTAAAGATAACCCCACATGGTGGTACAGGCAGGCAGATCTCTGTGAGTTCAAGGCTAGCTTGGTCTACATAGCGAGTTCTAGGCCAGCCAGGGATGCATAGTGAGAACCAGTCTCAAAAAAACAAAAACAAGAACAAAAACAAACAAAAAACTTTTAAGGATAGAAAAATTTAGATTACAGAGTAGCTCATTAATATTCCCAAGGTGAAAAAAGTGATTGTTAAATCAGAGGTGATGATATAATGTGGTCTCATAGGAGTCCTGACCCCAAGCTTTGTCCAAGGTTCTTTCTACTTAATCAAAGGCCAAGGAAAATGTGAAATTTTTTGAGTCCTATATATTAAGAAGTATGAGAAAAGATGTTAGAAAATATGGTAATTTTTCCAGGTCTGGTAGGTTACACCTGTAACTCCATCACTTGAGAAGCAGAGGCAGGAGGATTGCTGTAAGTTCAAGGCCAATCTGAGAGGCCTATAGAAAGTTCTAGACTACCAGGGATACATGACAAAATCCTGTCTCAAATCAATGCAAAATAATAACAACAACAAAATAGAAAACAAGATAATTTTCATTAACTTTGAATGTGTCTCAAATCATCCAAAAATCCAAGGAACTTACTTCCAATGCATAATATACTGGTTTGTCTCTGCCGAGTTTATAAGCCACTGTGGTCAGAAGGCCATGTTCAGAAAATACACACTGTAGGAAAGAAAAAAAAGACTTCAGTGGGGAACAACTGAAAATATAGTATAAAAATGTTATTAAAGTTAAAATAGTATAAGATTAATTAATAATTAATAATAAATCTTGGTCAAAATTATTAGCAATAAGAACACAGGCTGCAAAACAATTATTCCTTATTTCAAATTAGATTTTCATTAAGAATTTGGCATGACTGAGGTAAAGTTAGTCTTCTTTAAAAGAGCTAATGCTGACCAGATAGGCTGACCTGGCTCTAGTATCAGATGGACTCACATTGAGGGACTTTGCGGACACAAACTTGAGTCAATAGGCCTTATTCTATATGACAGAATGCATGAAATCTAGTGGGGTTGCTATAGGGCTACAGGTAGGGGAGGTGGTCCAAATATGATCAAAATGTATTGTATGAAATGCACAAAAAAAATCAATAAAAAATAATCCGACATAATCCTTATCTAAACTTCTCATCAACACAAAAGCATACATATAAATTTCAAAGAACATAAAATGGCTCTTATTAGAATCATTCAAATTTTGTGATTTTCATCATTTTTACTGAACTAAGCTAAACCATGTTAAAGGCTAACTAAACACTTAAGACTCAAAAGACACATTAGTAGCAAATTATATTCAAGCATTATTTATATGGATATAAAGAAGACTTTCATCAATCTTTTAATTTAAAAGAAAAACCAACCTTATGGCCCGTGTTACACAGTAAGAAGCATCCTGTTCCATACCTATAGATGGCGAATGAAGAACAGGTCAAGTTTGTCAAAAGCAAACGTGAAATCAGTACTACAAATGATGGAAATGGACATTTCACTTGGTACAACAGAAGTCATTTTAGGAAGATATTAGAAAAGTGTTGAAGGCTAACAAACATCACATACTCTATGAATGAGTATTTCAAAGATGAGTCTAGCAAGAAGTGTAATGAGGGCAATTAATGAGAAAAATTGCAGGTATAGGATTTAGCTGGTTTAGCATTAGCCCAGGGGTGTGTTTATAAAGTACCACTGAGTTACAACACATTCAAAATTCAGTCACAGTTATGTCACTAGCAGTCCACATGGATTGAAGCATGATGACTAATAACCATTTACCAGTGGAGTTGGCAAGCTCAGCTCTATCACTAATAATAGTCACAGACTGAGAAACACTCCTATCTTCTGGCACAGTGAAGAGGCTGGGCACAGAGTAGGGGAAAGTGTAGCTGGAAAGCTGGGGCAAAAGTGACATAGAAGGAAATGCTATTTAAGGCTTGCAGCTCTCGTTCTCTCTACAGGATAGTGGATAGTAACAGCAGCGGGATAATCAGAGACAGAACATGGCTTACTCTGTGGTAGCTGACTCTGCAACAAATCTGGCACTTGGACATACTGAATAGTTTTGGCTTGTGTCTGGCAGATAAGCAGCCCAAACTGATGCCAGGAAGGGTTACAGGGAAACAGTTTTAAGGTGAGCAGGGGTAACAAGTCTGCTACAATCACAATTGACTCTGCCTGAGCTTGAGAGTCCCTCCCCACACTGTTGTTATGTTGGGTGCCACCAGGGTTCTATGTTGGTGACATTACAACAGGTGGGATAAGAGACAGTGGTCAGTCCTGGAGCCAGCAGGACTATTGCAGAAGCAACTGCCAGTCAACAGACCCTACTAGCTTCGTTTCTTAAGCAACAAATATAAACCAAGTGCATTTTTTAGCTGACAAATATTTTTTATGCACCATGGTTATGAATAAGAAATATCTCACAATGTTCCATCTCTTGCCACCTACGTAGATTCTTGGCTTGCTTGATGAGCAGGTGACACATTCCGGAAGCATATACTTGTAAAGACATCTGTCAAATAACACTAAGTACAGGCAATACATTTACAAACTAAAGCACATCCACTACTATATTTTTGACTGCCCCATCACTTAAAAGCTATAGATTTCAAGTTAATCTTATTCAATAAATATCCATAGGAGATGGAGAGATGGCTCAGCAGTTAAGAACACTGGCTGCTCTTGCAGAGAACCTGGGTTTGGTTTCCAGCACCCACATAGTGACTAACAACCATTCCTAACTCCAGTTCCAGGGGGATCTGACGCCCTCTTCTGACCTCCATGAGTTTGCATGCGTGTGGTCCACTTACATACATGCATGCAAACCACTCATACACATAAAATATCAAAATTTTTTAAATATTCATTAAAATTGAAGGCCATTTCATGCTTTTTGTGGAGAGCTAGGGATTTTATTAAAAGTAGAAAGAAAGGCACTTAATAAAAGAATAAAAGTACACCCAAGAGCATGTGTCCAGGCTTGCCAAAGAAGAGTTGCAGTTTATTGAAAGCTATTTCTAAGAGGTTTTATGCTTTCTTTCTTTTGATACAGGGTCTCACTGTGTAGACCTGGCTGTTCTGGAACTCACTATGCAAACTAGCCTAGCCTTGAACTAGAGAGATTTGCCTCTGTCTGCCTTTTGAGTGCTAAGATTAAAAGTGTGTACCACTACACCCGGTGATTTTATGATTCTTAAAAATATTTTATTTATATTTTTATTTTATGTATATGAAGTATATTGCTTGCATATATTAAGTGTACCTGTGTCCTGCAATACCTGCCAAGGTCAGAAGAGGGTATTGGATTCCCCTGAAACTGGAGTTATGGACGGTTGTTAGTTGCCATGTGGAGGCTGGGAAATAAACTCAGGTCCTCTGCAAAAGCAGCCAGAGCTATTAACCTCTGAGCTACCACTTCAGTCCCGGTATTATGCTTTTTAAAGGCAAAACATGTACCAATTTAGCGTCCACATAGACACTGTGCACTGAACTGTCATATATAAGACTAAGAATAAAAGTGATGAGTAGGATTAAGACGCTAAAGAAAAGTTAGTATACTTAGTAATTAATAAGTGCTATCAATGTATGAAGAAGTTTCTTTGGTACATTTAGAACAGAACTTTCAAAGTAGTACATGGGCTATTATTTTCCTTTTAAACTGTATTATTCTAACTGGACATGGTGGTGCACACCTTTAATCCCAGCCAGCACTTGGGAGGCAAAGACAGGCAGATCTCTGTGAGTTCAAGGCCAGCCTGGTCTACATAGTGAGTTCCAGGCCAGCTGGGGCTACAGGGAGACCCTGTCTCAAAAAGACCAAAAACAAAATTATTCTATTTTCTCAATTAGCAAGCATATATAGAGTTTTCAGGCTTCATATATAGCCTACCTAATCTGCCTCAAGAATGTACTGTGCTCAAACATCACTGAAAGTCATATGACTTTTCTAACCTCTGCAAAGGTAAAGGTTGCTTTCTATCCTTTATGACTGGCAGATCAGGACTGAGCAATCTAGAGAAGTGTGATTTAAACAGCATGCAGAAGGCAGCGAGAGTGGGCCTGGGAAGAACTGAGGAAGGAGGTGAAAACGACTTTATTATTTCCAGCTGGTGCTCCTGGGGAGATGAACTGCCTACCTTAAGCTCTCATCCCAGCAGCACTGGGAACTGAACCCAGAGCCTCATGAATATTGAAGTCTGTTTCTGACTTCTTTATCTCAAGGCCTCCAACCTCTCTGGAGTATTTCCTCTACCTCTTTCACCTCCAAATCACCTTGTTACAGGGGGAAAAATCTTAACATATTCAACTCACTTCACATTTCCATGAATGTGAAATACATAACCTACCAGTATCACGAAAATAGTCCAAACCCAAATTCTTCTATTGGACTTGTCCCTTACTTTGGCCAAGCCTAACCTTTGGGTTACAAGGCTTCAACCCCACAACTAATTCCTCTACCTTAGCTCTCTAGTGTCATACATATCCCCTGGAGCCTCCCATTCTGTCCCTATCCTCTTAGTCTGTCATTTTTGGATACAGTGGGCTTATACCATGGGCTCTTTGCCTCTAGTAGCTCCTTGCTTTGACACAAGAGCTTCATCATATTGATGGACAACTTAAGTCACATCTAAACATGAGTTCATAAATGTTTGGAAATTCCCCATTGCTTATCCAGAAAAAAGCCCCCTGGCCTGAAATTTACAACTTCACCACATGGTTATTATGATTTAAATGAAATGTCCCCATTGACTCATGATTTGAACATTTGATTCCCAGCTGGTGATGCTATATATTTAGGGAAGTTGTGCATACTTTGGGAGATGGAGCCTAGCAGGAGGATCTACATCACTGGATACCTGTCTTTGAAGGTTGTACCAGGTCCTTGATCTGTCCCACCCCACCACACTTCCATCTGCCATGATGAGAGTTTCTCTAACACACTGTCCTGCCACTACCTTGTTCTTCCAAGTGCATGAACATACACACACACATACACATACTAGCAGGCCATTTTTTTTTTATGAGATAGAATCATGCTTAGTAGCCGACGCTGGTCTGGAACTCATCATATAGCCCAGAGAGGCCTCAAACATGTCTCCTAAGTGCCTGGATTACAGGTCTGAGCCACCAAGCTCACCTAATCTTATTTTCCACCACTTCCCTACCCTAATGTTCTCTACATTCTCTAGATTATCTTCATCTTCCTATTCGTTCCATTGCTCAATGTCTCCTACATGCTACAAAGCATTTTGCTACTGGAATGTTTTTACAAGCTGAGGATCAAGCCCAGGGCTTTGTGCCTGCTAGGTATGCACTCTACCTCTGAGCTCCATGCTGAGTCTGTTAACCTAATCAATTGTGATTTTTCTTGCCTCACTTTGAAAGCCAACAGCATTATTTCAAAAATTTCTTATGTCATGCAAGTTCTAGTTTATAAACCATCAACAGGGTGTCTGTGTTATTTCCCCTCAGGGAGAAACGCGCAATCAAGATCTTCTGATTTGCTGTTTCCCTCCTCCAACCTGCAATAAATACAGAGGCACTCAAATAAGTACCACCTAATTTAATTAGTAATTAAAGCCTGGGCTCACAATGGTCAAGGAAGAAAGACGGGATGAAATGGGGGCTATTTTATTGGGTCACTACCATGTACTATATACTGTGCTAGGCACTTGGCATATACAGATAGCATCTGATTTACTAGCATTAGTGTTCCTGGCAGACGAGGAAAGAAAGGAAAAATAGCTTGCTTTTCTATGACGCTTGATTCAGTTGCCTGGAATTCTGATTCAAAAAAAAATGTTTTCACATTTAAGCTGACTCAAATGCTCTTTGGTCATAACCTCAGGTCAACACAGTATGTGAAAATTTTTCATATCCCCTCTTCCCAACAAATTCACTCAAATAAGGCTACCTTTGCACATGAGAACTGCTGATCTGTTGAATTACAAGAACATGTGTTTTAGGACTGCTAGATATTTCATTATTTACAGAAAAAGAACTTAATCACCTAAGTCAAAACTAATGAACTAATGGTGGTATGTACCTGCAATCTCAGCATTATAATCCCAGCACTTGGGAGGTGAGAGCAAGTGGGCTTGGCTAACCTCAGCTAAACAGTAAGTCCTAGGACAGCCGGGGTTAAATGATACTCTCAAACAAACAACACACACACACACACACACACACACACACACACACACGCACGCACGCACGCACGCACACACATACACAAAATGAGAGAAGCAAGATGCAGCAATACATACTTGTAATCTGAACATTTGAGAGGCTGACACAGGAGGATGATAAATTTGAGGCTAGGCTGAAATAGATAGTGAGCTCCAGGCAAACCTGGGCTACATAGAAAGACCCAGTTTCAAAAAATAAAAATAACTTTGGGACCAGAGAGATGGCTCAGTGGTTAAGAACACTTGCTATTCTTGCAAAGGACCTGGGTTTGGTTCCTAGCACCTACATGGCACCTCAAAACTATCTGTAATTCTAGTTCCAGGAGATTCACGACCCTCTTCTGGCCCCTGTGGGCACAAGGCACACACATGGTATATATACATACATTCAGGCAAAACAGCCATATACATAAAATAAAAATAAATCTTAAAACAAAAACAAAACCCATGGGGCTGGAGAGAAGGTTCAGTGTTTAAGAGGACTGGCTGCTCCTGAAGAGGACCCAGGTTCGATTCTCGGCACCTACATGGCAGCTAACAACTGTCCATAACTCCAGTTCCAGGGGATCCAATGCCCTTTTCTGACCTCCGTAGTCATTGCATGACATGGGTGCACTTACATATATGCAGGCAATACACTCATACACATAAAATAAAATGATAAATGAAATATTTTAAAAACAAAAACAAAATCCAAAGCCAATAACAGAAAGTCCTAATGACAGAGTTAGGAAATCCTTATAAGAAGAACCATTCAATATAGTCCCCTTCCAAGAGTACACAGAAACATTAGCACACAGTAGTTAAGAGCCGCAGCTGAGGAACAGGATGAACTGAGGTCCAAATATCATGTCTCCAACCTGCCAGCTTCAGGACATTCATAAACTAGTTGTCTTCTCTAAATCTCCATTTCCTGATCTATAAAATAGAAATAATAGGAGTCCCATATAATAGGTTGTATGGGGACTAAATGGTGATCTCTGAAGTATATAGAGCATTATATATAACACAGTCATCATTGTCTGACCATGCATCATAATTATCACTATTGTTTCAGCTTTGGAGAGATATTTTTTCTGCTATTCCATATATATAATTGGCAGGTGCTTTTTTCAATATTCAAAAGGTTATGTCTAAACAGTGTACATAATAATAAGGCAACAGAAAGAAGAAAGACGCTGAGAATCAGCATAAGAAGGCATAGGCTTAGGCTGTGCCTCTGAGCCAAGGTTATGCCCTTGGGTAAGCACTAATCTCTGCCAGCACTCCTTTTCTCATCCTAAAGTCAGTGTCCTACATGACTCTGCATGACTGAGTACTGCATGGAGGCAATGTTTTTTCTCACATTCATGGTTCCTAGATTTCACAGATACATAAAATCATATGTGTGTCTATATGACATGAAAGTAGATGTGAAGCTCTTTATGACAGGGGAACAAAAGCACTAAGAGGAGAGTTAGGAGGGGAGAAGTGGAGGGTGAGGTTATAGGGGAGAAGTATGTTCATCATGCAATGTATGTTTGTATAAAAAGTTATACAATAAAGTAAAAAAAAAAAAAGAATGGTGGGAAAATATATCAAGTCTCTATTTCTTTCATTCTTCCTGCTGCTTATCAGGAGAGAAACTTGAGATGATGGGGAGGGGAGGGAGAAAGCACAATCTCAGTAAAATGACAATGAATATCCTATAAAAGCATGCCTTGTGTTTGGTTCCGGGGAGAAAAACCTGAGCAGGATAATACGCTGAAAATTATAATGCATATTACTGGTTTTTTTTTTTTAAATCTATTCATACCCCTCCCTTCAAGTCTACCAATTTTGCCTTTCAGGCAAAAAGACAAAAATTTTGGCCCAGTCTGAGCTATACAGTGAGTTGCAAGGGGGTTATATAGTCAAATCCTATCTCAAAAACACCAAAACCAAATATGGATAAAGCAGATTGAGGGATATAACTAAGTTGGCAAAATACTTACTTAATATGCACAAAGCCCTAGGTTCAATCCCCAGCACCTCATAAAATCAGATATCATGGCACATGCAAGTTTGAGGCCAGCCCAGGCTATATAAAACCCTATCCTAAGAGAAAGACAGGCTAGAGAGATGGCTCAGCAGTTAAGAGTACAGGCCTTTTTTGCAGAAGACATGGGTTTGAATCCCAGCACCCACATGGCAGCTAACAACCATATGTAGCTCTAGTTTCAGGGAAATCTGTTGCCCTTTTTTGTCTTCTGCGGGCATTGCATGACATGGGTGCACTTACATACATGCAGACAGTACATGCATACATATATGCATACATATGAAATTTTTAAAAATTTAAAGAGCAGGGAGGGAGGGAGCTGGAGAAATGGCTCAGTGGTTCAGATCATGTATTCATCTTCCAATGTCCCTGAGTTCAAGTCCTAGCACCCACATCTGGTGGATCACAACTGCCTGTAACTCCAGCTCCAAGGAACCCAACATCATCTTTTGGCCTCTACAGGTACTCCACAGACATACACATATACACATACTTGAAAGAAAAAAAGAAATGGATGAATTAAAACCTAAAATTAATAATAATAAAATAAGAGGGCTGGGTGTGGTAGCACATGCCTTTAATCCCAGTACTCAAGAGGCAGAATCAAACAGATCTCTGTGAGTTCAAGGCCAGCCTGGTCTACATAGCGAGTTTCAGGCCAGCTGGAGCTATACGGAGACCCTGTCTCAAAAAGAACCCCGCCAAAAAATAATAATAATAAAATAAAATAAAATAAAAATATCATTGGTGCTGGAGAGATGACTCAGCAGTTAAGAGTACTGGCTACTTCTGCAGAGGACCTAGGTTTGGTTCCCAGCGCCCAATGGCAGCCAAAAAACGTCAGTAATACCAGTTCCAGAGAATCTGTTGGCCTTTGTGGGCATTCCAAGGCAAGTAGTCCACTTACATCATGCAGGCAAAACACTCGTATACATAAAATAAAGTCGTTTTTAAAAGAGAAAGGGTTGGAAGCAAAACCAAATTGTAAAACTTATGTATATATCCATACTAAAGTGACTAAAACATTACATTTTGGCCTGAATGGTCTTCAAAAACATTCCTTTCTTCAAAGGGGAAAAAGTAAACAAAACATCATGCTTCTTAAGTCTATTTCCTAAACTCACGTGTTTTTGGCCTGTCCGTCTTGAAAGCACATTTGTCCCACCAATGCAGCAGATTGGTCCCCCAAACACTGAAAGTATAAATGACAATAAAGAATACTAAGATATTATTTAAAGGGCCATGAGATTTATTTTGGTGGGTTTTTCTTATTTTTTATCAAGGAGTAAAATATAATATGTGTTACATATTTTCCCCATTGGCATCTTCCCTATTTATTAACCAAGATAAAAGGAATGGGAAGGGAGAATTAGAATTCATTTTTCTCTTTTCTTTTTTTTTTCTTTTCTTTTTTTTTTTTCTTTTCTTCTCAAGACATAGTCTCATGTAGCCCAGGCTGGCCTTGATATTTCTTTGGGGGATAGGGTCTCATGTAGCCCAGACTGACGTCTAACTCACTATGTGGCTGAAGCTGGCCTTAAACCCCAGAGTCCAAGTGCTAGTATTACACTGAAACACTGTACCGGGCTTAGAATTTCTTCCAAAGATTTTCAGTGACCCACTCTATGTCACAGAAGGACAAGTGACCGGTGTTGCTGCACTTATTTGTCTTCCCTGGTTCAGGAAAAGGTAGACTGATTAAGGTGGAGGAGCAAAGCCACAATAAACTGGGATGCGGGAGGGGGGTGACAGGAAGATGATGATGAAACTTACCCCAGATATTGGCACACCTTCCAAGGCCCCAGCTTTCTGAATAAAAATTTGAAAAAGGATTAGGAACAGCCACAAGCTTTTGGCTCTACTAACATAACTCTGCTACAGGAATGAACAGAAAAGCAACGTGCCAGAGAATGTGAGCAGACAAGACAAAGCAAGTGTTTCAACTACATGAGTGGTACAGAGACAGACACTAGGAGTATTCCTAGAATGACAAGAAGAGACATGGGATTGGAAGAGGAACATAGAACATTGCACTGGGAGTCAAGAGACACAGGCTCTACTCCTGGTTAGTTAGTGTTAGGCCACAAGCAGGCTGCTGAGACCGCTCTACACAATTTACTTATTTACAAAATGACAACTGCACTAAATGATCATTGAGGCCCGTTAGTGCTTTGATATCACTGTTATTATGAAACAACTAACATATCTTTAAATAGCTTTCAAACTAGCATAGAACTTTTTTTGGAAGGTTGGATTTTATCAACACTTCTTTCTATTCAAGCTGCTCTTAAGAGACAAGAGTGTTTGGCGATTAGGTATTTGTTCACAGCAAACATCATTCTTCAAATTTAGATACACAATAATTAATTATTAATAATGTTTTTATATTGATCAATATGGTCAGCATTCAAAGAAGAAAAAGTGAGACTCTAGTAACCATAAACACTTTATAATACAGTTTTTAAAAACCATATTATAAGGCTAAGGATATATGTCAGCATTAGAGTTATTTCCTAGTGTATGTTGGGCCATAGGTGTGGACCCCAGGACCACAGCAGGAAAATCACTAAGAGACGAAAAAAAAAATTTTTTTTTGAGACAGGGTCTACGTGTAGCCCTGGCTGACCTGGAACTCACTATGTAGACCAGGCGGGCCTCGATCTCACAGAGATCCAATAGCCTCTGCCTCCCAAGTACTAGGATTAAAGGTGTGCATGCACCGCCATGCTGAGCCACAGAGTACATTCTACTGATACTGAGAAATTAGGAGAATTAAGGAATGTGATCCCTGAACTAAAGATGATGTACGGGAAAGAACACTAAATGAAAATTTTGGACTGACTACTTTGCCTGTCATTTGTCAGCAAATAGCCCTGAGAATTGCACTGTCCTATCTGTTAAAGTGAAGGAGGAAAGAACAGGATTCTTCTCATATACATATATATGGAAGGAAGGCCTTCACAAAATAGAAAATGCTCTGTAGATTGTTATCTTCGTTTTGTCATGTTTTGTGATTAATTCAAGACATGCTATTTTCTAAAGTTTTTCTTTATCCAGTGCTAGGGAACAAACCCAGGGCCTTCTGGGGCAAAGAAAAGTAGCCAAGTCCTCTACTCCTGGGAACTATACTCAGTGCAGCCCAAAACCTGCTGTTTTTATTTATTGTATATATTCTTGGAAAAGATGAACCCGGTTATTAATAAAGGATAGACTGAGTGAAAGGCTTAAAAGAAAATCATTAGGAAACCTAGATATGTTTTAATACTGTAAGAAGTCTGCCCATACTTTCAGAGTTATTAAACCTTTAGCAGGATCTATCATGTATTCAGGCATAAAAGCACTCCCTTTTCTTTATGGGAGAGGTTTCTGGAGGATTCCCAGAGGATCCTCTGAGGAAGCATGCAGAAAAAGTGACAGTGCATTTCCAACTAACTGCTCTGAAAGGTTGGTCAAGATAGTATGTGAAATATAAGAATATATTTAAAAACCACATCTAATTTCCCTATTATCCTAAAGCCCAAAGCACATCACTACTGTACTTTGTAATGGATAGCATCCAAACCTCTAGAAAACTACCTAAGAATTTTAGAAGCATCACTTTTAGTCTTAGGGAAAAGTTCAATGAATAAACAAGATATGCTTTCTTTTTTAAAAAAAAAAAAAACTAAAATCTGACTACAATTCATGATATTTTGGAAAGTCATGGAAAATTCTAGATACATCTGTTTAGTGAATGGACTTCTGGAAATGCACTGTATCTTTTCAAAATGAATGGGGAGCATAAGTGGTGGGTAGCCTACTCACCAGGCTATGAGAGATTTTCTATAGTCAGCAAGGCGGAGAAAGGGGGACAGAAGCATAATACTTTAAATGCAAGAGAAAACCAGGCCAATTAAATGTTTTCTTTTGATCATTCTCTGAAACTATTTCAAGAATAGCTTCTTTTGCTCTGACTCAAGTGAGTTTGTGAGAAATTCCACAATGCCTTACAAAGTGTTATTATAAATGGAAATCAAAATTTACTGCTCAAGTTTTATCCTGAGCATTTAGCATTCCATTCTATTTTTATTAACTCTATAATTGGAGTTTTTAATATTTTTCATGGAATGGCCACATCATCATTTGAAATTTCCTTAAACTTGTTCTTAAGTTTTGTCACAAATTCAAATTTTTTATAATCAAATACCAGTTCAAATCCTCCTAAAGGTTTCCATTTCTGATATTTAACTACAGGATCTCAATGATACTAAACACACTTACTTGTTTTTTCCCCTGGGTTTCAGTGAAAGCAATAGTAAAAGTGTCCATAATGGAAATCACCTAAATTTGCAACCTAATTCAGAAGCAGACTCTTTGCTTTCAGTTTCTTTGTGAAATTGTTCTCAAACTGACAAAGAATGAGATATATAACAATGGTTTAGCCATTAGAAAGAATTACATAGGAAAAAGAAGACTATAAAACATGGACAGTACCTGCTCTAAATTAAAAGCAGACATCACAGTCACTACATAGTAATGTGGATTGAAAGGATAAACTGGCCCAAACATTGCCACTCCTCTGTTTGGAGTTAGGTTATCTATAATATTTGAAAAATAACATTCAAAAGACAAAAAATAGTTACTCAAAGAAAAACTGAAATTTGTAAATATAAAATCAACTGGTAGGAAGGACCCTAAGGTTTTTAGTTATACAGCTATTTAAAAACCATTAAATTCTTATTTTATGTTCTATAACCATTCACAGAGAAAGTCCAAAACCCCAAAGTACAAAACATAACAAAACTGACTATTGAATTCTGAATGGTAAAGTTATTTTCTTTATGAAAGCCCCTTCTCCCATTATTTTGGGTTTTTTTACCATTAGGCCGTAGATCTCAGAAGAACTCCGGACATTGGGAAGAATTTCCATTGGAATTCCAAAAAATCTGAAAAACAATAGCTTTGGGTACATAACACTGTTTTGAATAAACACAGAAATACTTACATGCATTCAATGGCAAAAATACAAATAATTAGAAAATGGGTGCATTTGCGAATAGAATTTAATAGCGATAAACATATTAGCTAGCAGAACATAGCTGTATGTTTGGGTATTTAGTACTCCAACTTGAAGAAATTAAATCAATAAAAACAGCGAACTCAGAAAGCAGAGAACTTTCCTAAAAGAAGCTGATTCACAAAGAATAGTTAATAGGACCAATTTATTCTATGTATAATATAGTCTCCTTTACAAAACACAAATAGGGCCAGATGGCTAGGCGGAAAAAGGCACTTGCCACCAAGTCTGACGACCTGAGTTTAATCCCTGAATCCCACATGTACATGGTGGCATGTGTACATGTATGCATACACACAATAAATAAATGTTAAACATACACATGATAGAAGCTACATGCCTCTAATCCTAGCATTAGGGTGGCTGAGGCAGGATGATCACAAGATCAACACCAGCCTAGACTACAGTTTGAGACCTTATATCAAACAAAACCAAACCACAATATAGACTTGCATACTACGGCTGATAACAAAAATTAAATTTTTGTACTCCATTGCCATGTGAAAACAATGATTCAGGTAATAAATGAGGTACGGGGAAAACTATATTTAGGTCAAAACACAACTTACTCGCAGAGCTCTTTATCCCATTCCAAAGAATGAATGTTGAAAAGCATTGTCCTACTTGCATTGGTTACATCTGTACAGTGGACACCTCCATTGACTCCTCCTGTCAAACTCTAGACAGAATGAAGGGGACAGGTTACATCTGAATTGATCTGCAGCTTCACTTACGTATTGTTCAGGGCACTTAGCAGCAGCAGAGCACATGTAGCAGAAAAGAGTATTTCGATTACTGACTTACCTAGTACTCAGCAGCCTAGAACTAGATTTCCTAGAATGGAAATACAGTGTGAGCTAATTTTAAAATATCTACCAGCTGGGCAGCCAATCTTAGGCGATCTGAGCTAATCCCTGGGACCCACTGGGTAGGAAAGAAATGACTCCTAGAAGTTGTCCTCTGATCTCCATATGTACACTACAGCATTCATGTGCCCATACACACAAATAAATATAATGAATTTTAAATGAGTAATAGCTACATTTAGAACAAAGAAAGAAATAGGAGAAATTGATGTCTTTATATTCTTTAACCAATTTATCTAAAAATTGTTTGAACATATAGTCAATACAAATTGTTACTATTAAGACATATTCTTTCTAATTTTTGTCTTAAATCTGTGGATTGCAGTGTGCATTTTATAATCATAGCATATTGGGATTCCCACAGACTGCACGTCACATATTTACAGTGTGTCAGTGGCTAGTGCATTCATGCAATTCTAGTTACTTTCCAGTTTAAAAAGTCAATTTGATTTCTAACCTTTTATCTTTGGAAAATTTGTAGTATCATAAAATTTGACTAGATGAAATAGGTGGAAATGCTTGGTCCTATAGATTTTAGAGAACCTCGTGTTATCAATTTTTTTAACAATATCTTTTTGGACACATCTGAAAGCAGAGGTTTTAGTTCTCTATACAACACCCTCACTCAGAAATTGGATTCAATACTGCCTTCCTTCATGTGGAAGCAATAAGCGGTAAGAAAAGCAAAGGTAGAAAACAAGGGTAGATAACAGCATCCCATGAGGATGGGCAAAATGTGTTTCCTCCTGTCTCCTGCAGCTAGCTCAGGGTTCCCGCATCCTGCCGCGCTCTGCTTCAAGGCAGTTTGCCAGAGCTACTCCTTCCACTGTGACTGACATAAGAACAAACAGCTGACCTCTACAGAGCAGAGCACAAAGTACACCTACTCTGGCCAAGCACATGGAGGGATGGAGAAGGCACCTCTTCCAGGAAGTCGTGCCGAAAGATCTGCTCTGTGGTCTCCACAAGTGAGAATAAGGACAAGATTGGCTTAAAGTTCCCCCGAATGTTGAAAAAGTTTATGCTTACTGAAGGATTTACAAATGAAATTCTGTTTCGGATGTGCATTAACATTCTCTATGGGGATAAAGCATATGAGAGTATAACTGAAACAACACTGGTACATAGGTTGATGAACTTTGCATCTGGCTTACTGTTGGAGACATTTATTACAGTATGCCTCAGACATTTAAAAAATGCCCATCGCTGGGCAAGGTGGCACACGTCTTAAATCCCAGCACTCAGGAGGCAGAGGCAGTGGATCTCTGTGAGTATAAGACTAGCCTGGTCTCCATATTGAGTTCTAGGACAGCCAATGGTACGTAAGACCCTATCTCAATTAAAAAAAAAAAGAAGAAGAAGAAACCCAGGCATAGTGGTAACACTTGGAAGGAGGTAAAGGCAGAAGGATCTCTGTGAGATGGAGGCCACCCTAGCCTACATAGTGAGTTCCGGGTCAGCTGGGACTACAGGAAATGAAAAAAATGGTGATGCATGCCCTCAATTCTAGCACTTGGGTGGCAGAGACATGGGATTCCAGGGCAAGATAGTGAGACCCTATCTCAAAAAAAAAAAAAAGTCTGGTCCAGTGTGTCAGGGAGCAAGCAATCACAAGGCAAACTGTGAGGGTGAAGGAGACTAAGGAATGGAAATAATGCAAAGACAACACTCATGTATGAAGTGCTCAAAAACAGAACAATAAAAAGAGAAAAAACAAAAGGAGAGAGCACAAACCACAAGGCATGTGCTTATGTATTTTAAATATATATATTGCAAGTCGCTAGATACTGTGGCACATGCCTGCATCTCAGCACTCAGGAGGCAGAGGCAGGAAGACTGCTACAAGGTCAAGGCCTACATCATCTGCATAGTGAGTTGCAGGCTAGTCAGGGCTATATAACAAGACCTGTCTCAAAAAGCCAAAAGGGAAAAAAAAAGATAAATATCTTACAAATGTCTAAAATATTAATTTCTCCTGATCTGTGTTCCGCTCACACAAAAAGCTAAAAACATAAACAACTACAATGTTGACAGTGAATGAGAAAAGTAGCCTTGGTGTTTTATAGTGTTAAATAGTTACTTCTTAATAATCAGATACAGATTAGAGATGCATGTGCCAACATCTCAGTGTTAGTAGCAAAAACAATGAGTCTTTCTGCAATGAACAATATATTCTAAAATGAAATGGAGATCATTTTTTAAAGGTTAAAAATTCATTCAACTTTATGTCTTGGTGAATGAGAAAAGTAGCCTTGGTGTTTTATAGTGTTAAATAGTTACTTCTTAATAATCAGATACAGATTAGAGATGCATGTGCCAACATCTCAGTGTTAGTAGCAAAAACAATGAGTCTTTCTGCAATGAACAATATATTCTAAAATGAAATGGAGATCATTTTTTAAAGGTTAAAAATTCATTCAACTTTATGTCTTGCAGGGCTTATATTGAGTTCAATATTGTATAACTGTATTAATTCAACTGTGAACCTAGAAACCACTTGTGA